ATGCGTGAACTGGACTAAGAAGAGATATACAAACCAGGCATTTGAGAGAAACAATTTGATTTTCCTGCTGGATTCTATACTTGTGGCCCGTAGCCAAGCTGGTAAGTAAAAAGCTATAGGAAAAAAAGAAACAACAACTAAACCAGCAATAAGTATATCAGGTTTAACGGATGAACCTGATCTTCCCATGATAGGACAAATCACTTCAAAAAGAAGCTGGATAAAATAAGCGTGGAAAGTCATTGGTGGAAGAAAGGCCATGATGAATGATAAAATAAACATATGTGGCAGGCCAGGATAACTTATTAAAAGACGTACTAGTAATGGAAATATAATCCAAGAGAGAAGAAATAAAGCAAACACATTTAGAAAAACGTCTAGTAATAGAATGGATAAGGCTGTCAAAATTAAGGCTGCGTCAAAAAAGTCATAAAACATAACATAGTAACCAGTTTCACAAAGCCAACCAAGTTCAACAAAGAATCGTGAAAATTTTTTTATCGAAAGATCGTCGTAATTCGTGGTAAAAAAGACAGCAAGAGTCAGTAGACAGGGCAGAAGATAAATTCCAAATAAATTGTGGCGAAATGCATACCAGGATAGTCGGATTCCAAAATAATGAATTATCCAGGCATTAGTCAAGACAAAAGCCAAAATCAAGAGAATGCAGGAAATTTGAAGAAAAACAGCTATAGCAAGAGCGTACAGTTTGGTCAAAAAACTTCTTTTGTTTCTAAATCTAAATATAACTAAAAAAGTCAGAGAAAAAAGTAAATAAAAGACAAATCTACACGATTTAATCGAATAGTTAACAAAGTAATAGCCCAAAATATCCAAATAAACATACGTTGGGGAATACTTATCAGCTTTAAGATTAAGAGGGGAGTCAGATCTTTTTTTGTTACTGGTGATATCTTGGAGCCTTTTATCGAGAATAACGCTTTTGGCTAGCTTAAATAAATTATCACCCGACAGAGCCAGACAGGAATCAGATATACGTGCCTCAACATCATTGACCGTATGATAAACATAGCCATCTAATATGTATGCCATATCCAGGCCAGAAATGCCTCCATAATCACGAAATATCCTAAAATCAGTATCTGAAGGTATCATGCCGCTTGCAAACAAGAATTCGGAGAAGGAATTAGCAAAATGATTAAATGTAGAAGAATATGCGTCAAGGAGAATTTCAACAGCACCCTGATCAGGGCCGGCCTGAAATAAGTGAACCCGTCCACCTCCGCCTGATCCTTCAAGATTAATAAAAACTTTGATATCTTTTGCCCAGGAATGCTGTGTGATAAAAGAATGGCTGGCAAGCAAAGCGCTCTCTTCAGCACCATTGAAGAGAAAGATAATAGTGACCGATTTTGTACCGGTAAATTGAGCAACATCAAGTTGGGCAAATTTACGAGCAACCTCGATCATAGAGGCACAGCTGACTAGATCATCAGAGGCGGCAGGACTACCCAAGGCCGAATCATAGTGACAGTTGATGAGAAGAGAAGCCTCAAAAGTGCTAGGAATAGTTATTTTAAGGATCAAATTTTTTAGCCTATTGTATGTGCGATAAATATTCTTTATGGAAAATTGCCCATAATCAGAAGTTTGTTCATCTACCCATGCAGTAAAACCAGTTGAATTAGCTTCGATGGCTACAGAATAAATTTCCTGCAATATGTAAGAGCGAATGGGACCTTCATTTGCTATCGAGCCAGCAGTGTGAGGTCCAAAGCCCGTAAGATACTGCAAATGCTTGCGAATAGAAGTAGTATTGTGAAAGGCAGAAGAATAATCGGGAATACATTCGTATGGCCTAAGGGAAGCCCATAGGGAAAATACAAGAATGAGAAAGGAAAATAAGACCCAATGATGAATTTTGATAGTGCTACAAGTTGCATTCATTATCAGAGCATAAAAATATAAAGTTCGTCAACTTTTTTTAAACATGAAACTTTAATAAGGAATTCAAGCAGAAAAAGCTGGAGATAGACTTAGCCAAAACAGACACAGAAGTGAGGTAGTAATTTACAGGAAGCGGGAACGAAGGAACACAATTTAATTTCCCCGAACTAAGCTTAAAAAATTGTCAAATCTACCCAAAATTGCAATAATTTATAGTGTTACATTTAGAAGATAACAATACTGGCTGAAAGTTAAATTTCTGCATGATGTAAAGTTAAAAATGTTAGAAGCGTTAAATTAAATATATTTTGCCATATTAATTAACAAATTTTTTAATTAATAATTTTTATTTATAAGTGTTTGGATTTATTCAAACCATCATAATTTAATTTATCATCTTTATAATAATATATTAGCATCAAGAATAGCCTAAAATGCTTCGTCATTATTCTTAAATGCTCGCGAATAATATTAACTAAAAATAAATGCGAGATACTGTTTTAACTAATTTTGCTTAAAGCATTGAAGATTAAATTCCTTACAATGGATAATATTGTGAAATATTATACCAAGTTTTAGTTAATACTTACTAAGTTAATTTCAATTGCATATGAATGATTCAGAAATTTCGTTGCAGTTGCAAATCA